GATCTTTTTTCTAAATGGAAAAAACAGATGTGTATTTTCTCTCAATACTATTTAAATATTTCAGTAAAGTGACTGCCTGCTTTTGTAATGAAGATGTATGTGATGAATCAGGACACAGAAGGCACACAGTATTTAACATAAGGACGTAACACTAATAATTGTATATGGATGTTAATGTCACACAAACACACACAGACACACTTGTTGGTAATGAATTATCTTGGCATCTGATATAAGCAAGGATTCTCGCTGTCTCTTCATTCTGGGAAATCCTTACTTAGTCTTAATTTAATTGTGCCCCAACAATATGCTGCTGCTGTAAAAGAGCTCCCATACTATCTGTTCTTCAACATGCCTTACTGTTAGATGTACCAAGTTAATACAAATATTTTCAACATGCAATATCTCCTGCATTGCCTGAATATAAACTGGAGAGTATGGGTTTGGGGGGGGGGGGGGGGGGGGGAGAGCGGGGGGACCTCACTGTTCAGTCCTCTCATGTGCCATCTGAGTGAACTGTGTGCTCTGAATAACATTCTGATCCTGTGATTGCTCAGTATCAGAAAAAAAAATATTTGCCAGTGCACTGGATTCATAGCTTTGATAGGTACAGTCAGTGCTGCCTCATTTTTCATTTGGAACAAAGCTTTCTCCATGGGCACCCTGGATCTCTTTTGGGCCTGTGTTAAAGGTCCTGCCACTAGGGGATGTCAATATTTTATGTCTGTTATTTAAGACATTTTCTTTTTGTGCCCTCCAGCAAGCACCCTTGCCTCACCGCCAAGATCCAGACATGGAATATGATTACATTGGTTAGGTCCTTCCTGGACTTGGTATTTATCAGAGTGCTCGCTCTCTCTCTCTCTCTATGATATGGGATGGGATGCAGAGATAAAATTTCTAGACACTATTAACGGTTGCTTCTTGAACCAGCCAATCCTGGAAACCACAATAAGAGAGGCAATTCTTGATTTAGTTCTAAGTAGCACACAAGATCTTGTCCAAGAGGTGAATGTAGATGAACCACTCGGTAATAGGCACCATAATGTAATTAAATTTAACATTCTTGTAGGAGAGGAAATACCAAAGATACCCAGGTTGCCTTTATAGTAAATCTACAATATCTCTAAAAAAAGAACAGGAGTACTTGTGGCACCTTAGAGACTAACAAATTTATTAGAGCATAAGCTTTCGTGGGCTACAGCATCCGAAGAAGTGGGCTGTAGCCCACGAAAGCTTATGCTCTAATAAATTTGTTAGTCTCTAAGGTGCCACAAGTACTCCTGTTCTTTTTGCGGATACAGACTAACACGGCTGCTACTCTGAAACCTACAATATCTCTGTTGCAAATTTATGGTTTAATTTGGTCTCCCAGTTTGGCACAGGAACTCTGCACAGTTCAGATGAACATTCTGTGTCTTTTTTAGTAAAATATTTGCTAATAGAACTAGTCAAAAATGCAAATTTTTTTTGTCAGGAATTTCCAAAATATTTTGCTTTAATAAAATCCTGTGGAAATGTTTCAGTTTTCAATGAAAAACCAAGAACCAAAGAAGTTTTGGTCTTCAAAAACCATTTTTGGCACACAAAAAAAAAATTTAAAAATTCAGTTTTCTGAATAATCCAATCAACCCCCCCCAAAGTTTTACTGAGTGTTTTTGTTTTTTGTTGAAAAGCTGAAAAATTTCAACCAAAATGAAAATTTTGCACAAAGTTTGTTTTGTTCAAAAAACCATTCCACATTAAAGAATTTTTTTTGACCAAATCTATTTATGAATTTTGCAGAGAAAACATTTGAAAATGCTCCCGTCTTGGAATTTTCCCATTTTTCTTGCAGTTCTTTGAGTTCCTCTAGCTAAAGTCAGCAGCCCCACAATTCCATACTTAAACACACACTCAACGCACACAGAGATAACATCTGATCATTTAGGACAAATTTGAATAAGTTAAACACATGGAGTTTTTCCTTTTTCATGATAGCTAAACTTGGCACAGTCCATTTAGGTTAACAGAAATGCTCAAATCCATCAGCTATTTTCATTCTCGAATGCACCCAGATTCACCAGCTGTGCTCTGAATGTTCCATCATCGACCCAAGTTGCTCTCTGGGCAGAGATGAGACTCTAGGAGATGTTGAGAGGGCCTGGGGTGGGAGACCCGCCTGAAGGGCTCCTCAGAACACTACTTTGTCTCTCCAAGGCACCACGCAGTTAACTGGGTATCATATGCTAACATACTACTAATAGCTAAGGTAGACTTTGACCAAATACCAGGGCAGTGCTTTTTGTAACAGAAGACTCTGGGTTTTATATCTAGAACATAAGAACGTACCGGGTCAGACCAAAGGTCCATCTAGCCCAGTATCCTGTCTACTGACAGTGGCCAATGTCAGGTGCCCCAGAGGGAGTGGACCAACAGGCAATGATCAAATGATCTCTCTCCTGCCATCCATCTCCATCCTCTGACAAACAGAGGCTAGGGACACCATTCCTTACCAATCCTGGCTAATAGCCATTAATGGACTTAACCACCATGAATTTATCCAGTTCTCTTTTAAATGCTGTTATAGTCCTAGCCTTCACAACCTCCTCAGGTAAGGAGTTCCACAAGCTGGCTGTGCGCTGCGTGAAGAAGAACTTCCTTGTATTTGTTTTAAACCTGCTGCCTATTAATTTTATTTGGTGACCCCTAGTTCTTGTATTATGGGAGTAAGTAAATAACTTTTCCTTATCCACTTTCTCCACATCACTCATGATTTTATATACCTCTATCATATCCCCCCTTAGTCTCCTCTTTTCCAAGCTGAAAAGTCCTAGCCTCTTTAATCTTTGCTCATATGGGACGTTCCAAACCCCTAATCGTTTTAGTTGCCCTTCTCTGAACCTTTTCTAGTGCCAGTATATCTTTTTTTAGATGAGGAGACCACATCTGTACGCAGTATTCGAGATGTGGGCGTACCATCGATTTATATAAGGGCAATAATATATTCTCAGTCTTATTCTCTATCCCCTTTTTAATGATCCCTAACATCCTGTTTGCTCTTTTGACCAGCTCTGCAAGCTGCGCGGACATCTTCAGAGAACTATCCATGATGACGCCAAGATCTTTTTCCTGATTCGTTGTAGCTAAATTAGCCCCCCATCATATTGTATGTATAGTTGGGGTTATTTTTTCCAATGTGCATTACTTTACATTTATCCACATTAAATTTCATTTGCCATTTTGTTGCCCAATCACTTAGTTTTGTGAGATCTTTTTGAAGTTCATCACAGTCTGCTTTGGTCTTAACTATCTTGAGCAGTTTAGTATGATCTGCAAACTTTGCCACCTCACTGTTTACCCCTTTCTCCAGATCATTTATAAATAAGTTGAATAGGATTGGTCCAAGGACTGACCCTTGGGGAACACCACTAGTTACCTCTCTCCATTCTGAGAATTTACCATTAATTCCTACCCTTTGTTCCCGGTCTTTTAACCAGTTCTCAGTCCATGAAAGGACCTTCCCTTTTATCCCATGACAACTTAATTTACGTAAGAGCCTTTGGTGAGGGACCTTGTCAAAGGCTTTCTGGAAATCTAAGTACACTATGTCCACGGGATCCCCCTTGTCCACATGTTTGTTGACCCCTTCAAAGAACTCTAATAGATTAGTAAGACACGATTTCCCTTTACAGAAACCATGTTGACTATTGCTCAACAGTTTATGTTTTTCTATGTGTCTGACAATTTTATTCTTAACTATTGTTTCGACTAATTTGCCCGGTACCGACGTTAGACTTACCGGTCTGTAATTGCCGGGATCACCTCTAGAGCCCTTTTTAAATATTGGCGTTACATTAGCTAACTTCCAGTCACTGGGTACAGAAGCCGATTTAAAGGACAGGTTACAAACCTTAGTTAATAGTTCCGCAACTTCACATCTGAGTTCTTTCAGAACTCTTGGGTGAATGCCATCTGGTCCCGGTGACTTGTTAATGTTAAGTTTATCAATTAATTCCAAAACCTCCTCTAGTGACACTTCAATCTGTGACAGTTCCTCAGATTTGTCACCTACAAAAGCCAGCGCAGGTTTGGGAATCTCCCTAACATCCTCAGCCGTGAAGACTGAAGCAAAGAATCCATTTAGTTTCTCCGCAATGACTTTATCGTCTTTAAGCGCTCCTTTTGTATCTCGATCATCAAGAGGCCCCACTGGTTGTTTAGCAGGCTTTCTGCTTCTGATATACTTAAAAAAACATTTTGTTATTACCTCTGGAGTTTTTGGCTAGCCGTTCTTCAAACTCTTCTTTGGCTTTTCTTATTACATTCTTGCACTTAATTTGGCAGTGTTTATGCTCCTTTCTATTTGCCTCACTAGGATTTGACTTCCACTTTTTAAAGGAAGTCTTTTTATCTCTCACTGCTTCTTTTACATGGTTGTTAAGCCACGGTGGCTCTTTTTTAGTTCTTTTACTGTGTTTCTTAATTTGGGGTATATATTGAAATTGGGCCTCTATTATAGTGTCTTTAAAAGTGTCTACCATTGCTGTGAAGTTCTGAGTGGATACAATGGGCGAGCAGCACAGTGACAAATGCAAGGTCCTAACTGGCCACATATTTGTAACAATAGTTATTGCTGTTATACTGTTGTTATACTGTATTGTATTGTTTGTATCTCGAATTATGGCGCTTCCCCCTTTCCCTGTTGTTTATTAGGAGATAAAATCTACCTTCTCCCAAACAAAATTTCAGATTAAGACCACAAAAGATATGAATACTAATTAAATTGCTTCTTTGTTATTGTTCATGCTAGTCATGTATCATTACTGGATACCCGCTGTAAAGTACTGGATATGTAGGCAGGGGGCTGCTCTCAGGAAGTAGGATCTGGGAGGATCCACAAGGATTAATACACACAGACAAGTCTATGCTACACCATTAATCTTAGCACATATTTGTCTACACTAAGTCAAAGCCAAAGCAACTAGATGGATTATCCTGTATAAGGATGCTATTCTTACCACATGTCAAGGCAGGTGGAGTATTCTGTTGAGCCCAAAAGGACATCTGGGGGTCTGTACCACAGGGTAACCACTTCATTAGAGTATGTGTGGCTGGGGACTGATTTGGCTCTTGCAAGACCTGGAGAATAAATATAATAAAAACGCAATAAGCATAAAGAGAACAAAGAAGTGTACAGTTAAGATCTTAAAGGCAGTGTGTGTCATATGAACCTGGATGTGTGTTGCATGCAAGACTGCTTTTTGTTTCTTCTGGCCTAGGAGTAAGTTAATTAGTGAAGGAACATAATAAGCTCTATCATTTAGTTCATAGCTAAACAGACTTGTTGTTATTTTGAAAGAACAATAAGACAAGTCTTGGATAACTATAACCACTGAAGTGTCTTAAATTTTTATTTATATTTTATATAAAAAATCTGGTGTGGGAATAACCTCATCATCTGGAATTTTATCTTTAGCATTTATTTAGCATTCTCAAAACACAGTATTCAAAAGTAAATCAGATAAATCCCTAAAGGTCAATTATTCAAAGCGAGGAAGAACAAACCCAGCATGACAACACAACTCCAGACAACAGGTGGATTCATACAGGGAATTAATGACTCCTGTGACAGGTTTAGCTTATATTCACATAAGGAAAAAATACACTGAAAAAATATTTGAAATTTCAAGCATATATTCTGGTATTCCTGTATGCAAGACAAACAAAAGAAAGGGTTGCCATTTCCTACACCATTCATCTTTCAACTCATCACTTTTCAGCACTGATAACCTTTCAATTCAATGGTATTATTATTATTATAATAAAAAAATAAAAGCAAGGAAAATCCAGTGCCAACAGCACTACAATGGGAATTTTCCAGAGCTGCCTCACCTTCCTTAGTCTACATATTCAGAGTCAGATTTTAAAACAGTAGAGGCCTACATCCATTTACAAAGAATACTCAAAAATGTACATCCACAGTTGCATCCATAATTACTAACATTGTGCATATAAATCAAGAAATTGCATGTGCAAAAAGCTTTATTCCCCCAACTCCCAGAAGATGAGCATTATAGAGTAAGGGAACTCAGTTCCTGGAAGATCTGGGAGCAGGAAAGACTCTTTTCTCTCGAATGAAACCTTCCAATCCACAATTTATTTAAAGAGTAGCATTTACTATGGCCATTCTTAAATCTTGCCAATTCCCTGAGACAGCTAAATAATATTACCTTAGCAATTGCTACTCACTCTATAAAAATATATGGGCGTCCAAGGCATACTGCTAGTACTAAGGTAACTATAATTTATCTAAGGTAAAACTTGCAATTTTTTAGGAGTGATCACTGTATGCTCACAGAGAACTTCTTCTAACCCTTCTCACACGCAAGGGACCATGATTCAGGGACATGGGCACTTTCAAGGCTAGGATAAGTGCCTGCACAAGGAGGTAGAACTTCCCCGCACAATCCACTCCTGATTGCTTTTCTGCAGTCATGTTCGGGTATTCTAAAAACTGCTGTCCTCACAACCCCAGAAGTTGGGGGATACTGAGCACATTCAAGTAATGGGAACCAGGAGTACACAGTGTTGGATTTTCAGCTGCTAAGAGAAGGGACGTTAACTTCCTTCCACAAGACAATGAAATTATTAAAACAGAAGGTCACTATCAGTTCTGCTACCTCACTGAAATCTTTAGAGAGAGCCAAAACACATTCATTTAGTGAAAGATTACAAACTGCAAAAGAAATCTATAATATGAGAGTTCACATGTAATTGAACACCAGAATCTTCTCTGGAGCAGCAATAAATATTTTTAAAACCAAAAATGAAAATTAAGGACTGCATGCCTGAAGTTGTGCAAGTTGAAGCAAAGCACATTTGCACTTTTATACTTAATACACTGGAGAAGTGATTTAAGAACAATTAATCCCAGTGAATATATTACCATAGTAACGCTGGCAAATTCTGTGCAGAGATTGGGTTATCTACTGATTATACAGATTAGACATATGTGGGAGGATAGTCTAACTAGCACACCAGAATTTAAAAAACAAAAACATTTCAGACATTAATAATCATTCTTTGTTCAGTTTTACATGTTCTGACATTTTTTCATCTGGTCTCCCTGGCTACAAATCAGCCCAGTATCTTCTCTTGCACTGAATTCCATGTTGGCAAGAGTTTCTTGGGAAATGTACATTGCACACCTTGCAGAAGCTAAGCCACCCACACAGCCCTTGGTTGTGACTACAGGTTTATGCTTTCAGAAGATCACAGACAGTTAGGGTGACCAGATGTCCAGATTTTATAGGGACAGTCCCGATTTTTGGGTCTTTTTTTAATATAGGCTCCTATTACCCCCCACCCCCGTCCTGATTTTTCACATTTGCTGTCTGGTCACCCTACAGACAGTGGATACTTGTACAGTAATTAAGATTGATAATTTTGTTCCTAGCATGAATGAGCAGTTAAGAGTCTGAATTGCTTTGAAGAGCTATTTTTACTTATATCCCACATGACTAAAGGGAGGCAGATTCTAGTCAGATTGAGGTGTGGAGGATCTCAGCTAGATGCCAGTGTGGAAGAGAGGGAAACATATGGAAACCCCCATACTCCTACATTTAAAGAGAGTTGAAGAGACATCCAGACAATTTAGAAAGGGAGAAAAAACAAGGTGGTACTATAATGGGGGGAGGGGGAGAGAGGAGTGGAGGGGGAGGAAAATCCATCCTGCCAGAATGAGCCCCTCTTGCCAAACAGAAAATGTGCTCCCTGAACTAAGGTAGAGAAAATAAAAGAAATTAGTCTCAGTTCAGATTTAAGTAGGTGGTTCTAGATTACCTGGATTTAGAAAATATTCATTACTCTACTGACTGCCACCTTTTCCTGGCTGGCACTTAGAGCTTTCCCTGTGCTGGCCAGTTCAGCTGCAGCTTCTCACCTGCCACCTGGATCAGCTCCTCTGCTCTGCCTTTACTGTTTCTTGTTGCCTCTACTGCCGCCACATCTCCTCCCCCACTGATACCTGAACTTTAACTAAACATACAGCAGATTTTTCTACGTGCCACTTCTTCAGAATGCCACCTTTGGTCCTCTCTCCTAATCCAGCTTGTTTGGCAACTCATCCCTTATCCTTAAATCTGCTCCTGATCCCCCAACCACTATAAAACAAGGTTAGCTACTGTATCTGGCTTCTGAGACAGACAGTTGTCTGAGTGGGTTGCTTTCACTGCTGAAAGGAAAAATGATGAACGGCGGCTTGGAGTATAAGAAAACGATGTATCCTAAAATGTGTTGAGGTCGCTTTTGTGTTAGTGTTTAGCAACTTCAGTGCAGCAAAGTGGGACTGAATGGGCTCAAGGATGTCTTTGTGTTTGAAATGATGGCCTGAATTTTCCTCATTGTGTATGTAGACCAGTTAGGCAACTAACTGGCCAAAATGCAAGTGAAACTGCAGGTGTAACTTATGCACATTTAGATTCATATATTCAAACTGAGTGCATGCACTTTGGATCGTCTCAAGGCATAAAAGAATATCTTTGTCCTTTAGAAATATTTACAATTTATTTAAATACAAAATCATCAAAAATATGAGAAACTAACAAGACAGTATTTCTTATTTTGATGCACCAGATATGAATAAATGACAGTTATCAGTTTTTCAAATATCCTTCTGAAAATAAATTGTTACATATTTTATACCATTTGTGCATCCAAATATGCTTACTCATGCAAAATTTATTTAACTGCATCTTTCAGCTGAAGGAAAATGTAGGGTAGGATTAATTAGCACAGCATGTTCGATCACTTTCTTTAAGGGTTCCTTGTCTGTTTCCATGGTTACACTACAGGAAGAGACAATCTCTTTTGAAAAAGGACAGCTTAAGGTTGATCATCAAAACTTCTAATCTTAATGTGAATAAAAAGTCAAAAGGTAAATGGAAGAGATCACCAGGTGAAAACACAATATTTGCATACTGCTGCTTATACACTTTTGACCTGAAGATATACAATGATAACTTCATGATAGTTCAGTGAAGTATCTTTCAGCTCCTGTCCTTTTGGACAGATAAAAGGTCACCAATACAGACACCCTGCTGCTATTGTCCTATTCTTAAAGTAACGAGACAACCATAAAGCACAGTTACTAGAAATCAGATTGCATCAAACCCACTGTGGAACTTTTGTATAATTGTTCAAAGAGTTGTGTACTACTCTGTGTATTGAATGTTACTTATATGTACATTTAGTTGAAACTAAATAAAACAATGATGCATTACATTCTAATATTTTACATGATATAATTTACCAGTATCATGAGAAAAGGTACAATTTTCTTTAAACGTTTCTTACTAAATTACAGATTCAAGAATATTTTACAACCATGGATGAGCATTCAACACAAAGGCCCATTCGGATCCCAGTATATTTTAGTTTTTACCACCCAAAAACTCAGGCTGCCACATGATCTGTGTAAAAAAATGTCAAATATATGAAGATATTTCACTGTTTAGTTAATATAATTTTCTCCGTTTGTGGGGCCTTATCTTGCACCTCAGGCTCAGGAAAACCATGTCTGAGTTTCCCTAATCTCTTTTATTGACAAACACACACATCGCCTTATCACTTAATATTTTTGTATTGTATTTACAGTTGAAAGGAGACAATGACTTATACCCACTTTGTGAGCATACTGCTAGATGTGTGGCACAAATATCTAATGGATATCTCTCTAGCTATGTGATAGCTATCTAGCCAACTCTGTGTCCAAATCAGGAGGAACTTAGGCACATCTACCATGTGTGGATAAAGGAGGGAAAATATGCAGGTGCACAAACGTGGACTTACCCAGAGTCTGGAAAAACAAATCAAACTCTATATAAATACACACATACTAAACCCCACATAATTATTTGTTTAAATTAAGACAGACATGTGCATCGGTATGTTTTCTCTTCTATTTCAGTGTTAATATGCACCTCATCTTGACTTAGATACAAACAGATGGGTTCTAGCAGCATGAGATGAAAATAGGAAACAAAGGGGATCTTATTGTTGTTTTCCCTCTTCTCGCAGCCCTTTGAGGTCTCCTTTTTTAGCAATCTGTTTAATTCTTTAGTAGATTCTGATAGTTTGGC